AAAGAAGAGAAAGGGGAGAGAAAAGAAAGGAGAACGAAAGAAGAGAAAGGGGAGAGAAAAGACAGGAGAAAGAAAGAAGAGAAAGGGGAGAGAAAAGAAAGGAGAACGAAAGAAGAGAAAGGGGAGAGAAAAGACAGGAGAAAGAAAGAAGAGAAAGGGGAGAGAAAAGAAAGGAGAACGAAAGAAGAGAAAGGGGAGAGAAAAGACAGGAGACAGAAAGAAGAGAAAGGGGAGAGAAAAGAAAGGAGAACGAAAGAAGAGAAAGGGGAGAGAAAAGACAGGAGAAAGAAAGAAGAGAAAGGGGAGAGAAAAGAAAGGAGAACGAAAGAAGAGAAAGGGGAGAGAAAAGACAGGAGAAAGAAAGAAGAGAAAGGGGAGAGAAAAGACAGGAGAAAGAAAGAAGAGAAAGGGGAGAGAAAAGAAAGGAGAAAGAAAGAAGAGAAAGGGGAGAGAAAAGACAGGAGAAAGAAAGAAGAGAAAGGGGAGAGAAAAGACAAGGAGAAAGAAAGAAGAGAAAGGGGAGAGAAAAGACAGGAGAAAGAAAGAAGAGAAAGGGGAGAGAAAAGACAGGAGAAAGAAAGAAGAGAAAGGGGAGAGAAAAGAAAGGAGAACGAAAGAAGAGAAAGGGGAGAGAAAAAGACAGGAGAAAGAAAGAAGAGAAAGGGAGAGAAAAGAAAGGAGAAAGAAAGAAGAGAAAGGGGAGAGAAAAGACAAGGAGAAAGAAAGAAGAGAAAGGGAGAAAAGACAGGAGAAAGAAAGAAGAGAAAGGGGAGAGAAAGAAAGGAGAAACGAAAGAAGAGAAAGGGGAGAGAAAAGACAGGAGAAAGAAAGAAGAGAAAGGGAGAGAAAAGAAAGGAGAAAGAAAGAAAGAGAAAGGGGAGAGAAAAGACAGGAGAAAGAAAGAAGAGAAAGGGAGAGAAAGAAAGGAGAACGAAAGAAGAGAAAGGGGAGAGAAAAGACAGGAGAAAGAAAGAAGAGAAAGGGGAGAGAAAAGAAAGGAGAAAGAAAGAAGAGAAAGGGGAGAGAAAAGACAGGAGAAAGAAAGAAGAGAAAGGGGAGAGAAAAGAAAAGAAGAACGAAAGAAGAGAAAGGGGAGAAGACAGAGAAAGAAAGAAGAGAAAGGGAGAGAAAAGAAAGGAGAAAGAAAGAAGAGAAAGGGGAGAGAAAGACAGGAGAAAGAAAGAAGAGAAAGGGGAGAGAAAGAAAGGAGAAAGAAAGAAGAGAAAGGGGGAGAAAGACAGAGAGAAGAGAATGAGCGAATAGGAGAGAAAAAGACAGGAGAAAGAAAGAAGAGAAAGGGGAGAAGAAAGAAAGGAGAACGAAAGAAGAGAAAGGGGAGAGAAAAGACAAGGAGAAAGAAAGAGAAAGGGGAGAGAAAAGAAAGGAGAAAGAAAGAAGAGAAAGGGGAGAGAAAAGACAGGAGAAAGAAAGAAGAGAAAGGGGAGAGAAAAGAAAGGAAAAAGAAAGAAGAGAAAGGGGAGAGAAAAGACAGGAGAAAGAAAGAAGAGAAAGGGGAGAGAAAAGAAAGGAAAAAGAAAGAAGAGAGGCGGGAAACTGCGACGCAACTTTCTGTTTCGAGAACGCGGGCTTTGGGCAGCACTCGCCTCTCCCAGCTCTCCCATCTGGCCCAGGTTCACTTGTATCCTTGGAGAGCAGGACCCTTCCGACGTCAAAAGCTACACACGTCATTCAAGCCGATTTCACAAGTTTCTTGTAGAAATAGACTTCTCATACAAACAGATTTCTAGACATGTTTTCAACACACATGCTCATCACCGATCGGACGAATAATTCGAATGCTACGAAGTGTCTCCTTGACGGCCTGGCTCTTGCCCGTGTCCTGCATCAGCCAGGCTTGCAGCGCCAGACTGCGGCCAGCCGGCTGGTAGGAGTAATCCATAACGTCGTGGCGGAAGATCAGCAAGGTGTTCTGAGTGCAGGAAATCCTCATGGGTTGTCAAAACTGTGGGCTCTGAAAGCGAGGAGGTGTTCCTACCGGCTATTTTGGACCGCCCACCTCATAGATCGCTGGGCGCCCGGAAGGAAATTCTGTTCTCGGGGATAGAACCAAATCTCCCCGCCCTGGTTCTCAATGAGGTGCAGGAGCCCCAACCGCCTTCTACGAGCAAAAAAAATGTACTCCTGCAGCGGCGCGGACCAGCCTGAGCCCGGATCCTGCATCATGTCCCTCACGGACTCCGGCAGGTAGTCCTCCTCTTCATTCTTGGTCATGGACATTCGCAAAAGCGGATTCATGATGTAGCTGAAGGTGACACCTATCGAAACTGCCATAGGACCGATGCTAGTCGCCAAATCTCTAAAAAGCAGTTGACTGGCATCAAATGCTGCGTTATTCAGCTCCTCATCCTCAGGATACTTCAGGCCGTCCGGATTTGACTGCTCTTCCCTGCGCTCTTGGAGCCAGGCTATCTTGTTGTTAGAGTCGAAACCCATGTACCCCGTCTCGACCTCCTGCTTCATCCGGAAAAAGTCCCTGTCTTGCTCCTGCGCGCTTTTCCAGGCTGCTTCTCTCGCATCGTCGCTCATGTTGGTCTGAATCACGCAATAGCCCTTGTTTGCCAGGGCAGCCACCACCTGCTCTGCGAAGCGGGCGGTGGGCTGACCATCCAAGGGCCATTCTGCGTCAACGCCCTGTGGAGGGCGAGGCGAAACCTCAAAGTTCTCAGCCATGGCTCAGGGCACCAGCGCTAGCGCTGAGCCGAGAGCTGCGAACCACACGTTCTGAAAAACGTAAACGGAACCCAAACGCCGACTGAGGCTTGTTCCACGCACCTCCCTTGCCAGCCCAAAGATTGCCACCCCGAAAAAAGAAAAGCTCCCTAAGTTCTCTTGACACCCTTTTGCGGTAAACCTCTGAAACCGAACTCTTCAAACGCAATCACAGTTCGGGCCATGGCAAGCGTGCGGATTCCCGGAGTGTCTCCCGTCCTTCGGCCCAGGCGGCCACATCCATGCAGGTCACAGGACTCGCGTCTTCCATGTTGATCCAGCGCAACACCTGGGAACGTTGCAAACTTTGAAACCCTGCTGTTTGCTTACGCGCTTGGGCCGTGGCTGTTGCGTTTAGGCCTGGGTTTCCAAGAGACGCAGCTTCTAGGCTTCCTGAATTAGCCAGGGTTTTCTGCTCGGAACCTTATCCACGAGCAAACCGAGACAATGACATAAGTTGTGTTCCATTGATTCTTCGCATCCTACACTAGCCTGCTTTCTGCTTTAACCGCTCCGATTCTGGCATTGGCTGTTGAAACCCTTTTATTAATGCAATCTCTTGCGCTTTCTAGCTATCCCGTGTCTCAGCAATTTTCAGCGTTGGAAGGAAGTGGTATCTGCCATTTGAAACATGGCTCGAAGATCATGCTTTGGGTAAGCCTCGACTGGTGTTTTCATTTAGTGGCTTGGTGGCTGCTTGATTGAGCCTCAGTTGTTGGAGCGATCGCTGCAACAGTAAAAGAGGCTGCGGTTGCTTGCCTTGCAGTGGAAGTTCTGCCGCTTTTCAAAAAACCACTTCCAAAGCCAGGCGCCGGGAAGTCGTGCTCGGTGCTGAAGATGATGACCTTGGTCACAAACCATCACGAGACAGTTGCCAAGATCGATCCTAAGGCAAACGGCTCACTCAACTCCCCACAAGAACATGGTGCTTGCCACAACATGCCCATTCCGTTAGACTCAGCATTCAGGCTTCCTTTCCAAAGCAAGAAAACATCTCTCACTTCTGCGCAATCTGGCGCTACCACGGGAAAATGCAATTCTGACTGCTAGTGGCACAGGCAATCTCTTCCCAATGAAACCCTGTGCATGCGTGCGGGAAAATGATCCAAGAATGTTGCTCGGAAACTCGGGCACTGGCCCTTCCCTCCACCGTGCCCACATAGACCCGGCGCTGCTCCTTCGGCTGCCACCCTCCCCAACGGAAAATGAACATGAATCTGGACGATCAGCCCTGCCGCGACTCTTGCTGGTTTGTTCAATGTAGCACGGCAACTCAAGGAAACAAGCTCTGACTACACTCCTTCCAGTACTTACCAGAAGGCTCTTCCTCTTGCCAGGGTTCTTTTATCGTAAGCTCAAAGTTGAACATCTGTCAACTAAAACGTGTTGCGCCACGCACAGGGAACAGGCTTGTCGCACACAAGAACGACTGAACGAGCTGCAAATTGGAGGCAAGCAGCCCTGTTTCAAAATAGGTGGCGCTCAGTTGCAGCCGTCAAGGCAAGCACGGCTCGGAATTCCAAGTGTTGCAGCAACATCAAGGATCGAATGCATTTCGCCTCGCCCCAAAAAACCTATGGAAACCCTTGCGCAACAGGGCGGTGTCAGATGGCAAAAGAGCCACAAAACATGACGCGAAACGCGTACCCGCAACTGCGTACATGAATTAACAACACATATACACTTACCCGCCTTGGCCCTTGGGGCCAAGCTCACGCGATTAAGCACGGTCGCCTGTCACCTGCTGCGTACGTAGGCCAAGCAGCCAGTTGCTCAGCCCAGCCAGCCCAAAAAAGCTGCGCCAGATGCGGCGCAATTGGCGTTGCGCTCCTGCCTGTGTGCGACTGGATTGCATGTGTGGCAAAGCCTCAGATGCGTGGGTATGGCCGACGCAAGCAACACACTCCGGCAGTCATCAGCTTCTTGCGGCAACCGCCAGGCACACGTTGCAGCCCCAAAGGCTGAGTCCACTGCGGCCACCAGGCGCTGCAATCCACCTGCTACTTTCCAGTGTCCAAATGCTTTTTTCCGGTGTCATGATAACGCCCGTGCTGGACACTGTCGCACTGTTGCAGCGCGCGCTGTTTTGATGTCCGCTTCTGCAGCAAAAAGTTCCACGTTGCTTTTCTCAGGAAAGGCTTGCTTGGCTGGCAAAGCTTTTTTCCCGCTAGCTGACAGAGCACTTTGTTCAGGTCAGCGTCCCCGTTGCGCCCGCCCGGCGTGGCGGCGAGCACGAGAATCACGGCGCACGCGGGAGTGGCAGGGCGCATCTCGGTCATGTACAACGATCCTGCGCTGCGCGCGCTGGGCTTGACACAAGAGGTAGCGCCAACAAAGGAGACTGGTGCTGGCGCTGGCTGGTGATGTTTTGGGCGGACGGGCGAACAGACGGAGTCTCCTCTGGTTGTTGATTGCCACCTGTGTGTGTCAGCGAGCATGATGCTGTTGAATCTGCAGTGTTTTGGTGGAATCGGAGACCTGGCCTTTTGACGACAAGGGCCGCCAGCGGCGTGCTCCGATTTATGCAGGGTGCGTGGCCAACTATGAGGTTACACTGCGCGCGCCACAAGTCTAGTGCAAAATGACTATGTCTGATGGGCTGAAAGTGCAAGGCCCTTGCGCATCGCTGGCACAAACGGCGCTCAGGCCGCAACTCCGCAACTCCAGGCGCATGCCCGCGTAATATTACACCTCCTTTAGTCAAAGGAAGTTTAGAAGGAACTTCCGTGTTACAGTTTCTAAATGAAAGCTATCTGCGGACAGATGCCAAGAGAAGGAATGAGCACGCGAGAAAAAATGTGCGCGCGAGTGATGGGAGAATAGAGATGCGCAAAAAACGTGGCCCTGTGCGTGAATCGGCGTCTCCGGAGAGCTGAAAGCTAGCCTGTTTGCGGCGCCTGGTCTGGCCGCGTTCGGACCACGTTCGGACCACGGAGCACGGGCCCATTGGCAGGGCAACGCGAAGATTTCGCTAAATTTTAATTGCGTGGCAGGCGCAGCACTTTCGCAAGGTCAAGTTCTCCCAGGGTTGAAATTGCGTAGCAGGCGCGAAACTTTCGCAAGGTGAGGCACAGATTTCGTGGCAGGCGCGGCAAAGCGCACGGTCAAGTTCCGCCAAGGTTAACATTGCGTGGCAGGTGCAACACTTTCGCAAGACGAGGTGCACATTTCGTGGCAGGCGCTGCACTTTCGCGAGGTCAAGTTAAAACATGCGTGCGCGTGTGGTGGGAGAATAGAAATGCGCAAAAAGCGTGGCCCTGTGCGTGAATCGGCGTCTCCGGAGAGCTGGAAGCTAGTCTGTTTGCGGCGGCGTTGGGACCACGTTCGGACCAGTCTTGGATAATGCTCGGAACACTCTCGGAGCGCGGGCTCATTGGCACGGCAACGCGAAGGTTTCGCTAGGTTATAATTGCGTGGCAGGCGCAGCACTTTCATAAGGACAGGTACAGATTTCGTGGCAAGCGCGGCACTCTCGCAAGGTCACGTTCTCCAAGGTTGAAATTGGTGTGGCAGGCGCGGCACTTTCGCGAGGTCGAGTTTTCGCAAGGATTGAGTTGCGTGGCAGGCGCAGCTTTGGAAATGTCAGGTACAGATTCCGTGGCAGGCGCAGCACATACGCAAGGTCAGGTGCAGATTTCGTGGCAGGTGTAGCACTTTCGCAAGGCCAAGTACAGAGTTCGCGGCAGGCGCAGCAAATCGCAGGGTCAAGTAAAGATTTCGTGGCAGGCGCAGCACTTTTGCATGGTCAAGTACAGAGTTCATGGCAGGCGCAGCACTTTCGCAAGTTTAAGCACAGATAGAGAGATACATAGATAGATAAATAGGTAGGTAGATACGTCGGTAGGTAGGTAAATACATAGATTAAATAGATTAGATAGATAACAACAAAAAGAGAAAGAGAGATAGATAGGTTGATTGATAGACAAGCAGAATGATATCAAGATAGATAGATAGCTACATTGGAAGATAGATAGATATATAGACAGATAGAGAAAGATAGATGGATAGATAAGTAAAGAGAGGTATATAGATAGATAGATAGATAGATAGATAGATAGACATATATATATATAGGTAGGCACATAGGTCGATGGAAAAATAGATTGATAGATGAGAAGAGAGAAAGAGAGATAGAAAGACAGATAGATAGACAGATAGATAAAAATCAAGTCATAGTCAGATAGATAGATAGAAAAAAGAAAGAGAAAGTAGCAAGGACGCGCAGATGCGCCTGCCCGCGATCTGTTGATGGACATCCTTTGCATTGTCATGCTTTGGCGCGCGTGATGGTTGAACGACACCGTTGCCGTTTACCCTCAAATCGACTTGGAACACACGGTGTACACTCAGGCAGCAAGGGCGGCCAGCGTGCCGGCTCAGGCCGCACGGTCGCCTTCCACAACATCTCTGGCCGCGCACTCATGTTGCAGCTGCGAAAGTTGGCTTGGGTTCGTCGACTGCGCAGCACAGCAGCCTCGACGATCCTGCCGAAGAATCACCGCGCGCGCTGGCGGAGGCCGCACGGTTGTTGCGAGCGCCGCAGCAGCAAAAGCTGCCTCGGGCTTGAGCGGAAACATTACCGTGCGTGCTGGCTTAGGCCACACGGCTGTTACGCACGCCGGTTCAGACCGTGTGTCTGTTGTGGCAGCTTTGGGCTTTGGGCTTGCACACGGTTGTCACGCGTGCCGGCTCAGGCTGCGTGTTCATGTCGGGGCAGTAAAAGTTTGTTTGGGGTTCCAGCCGCAAAACCGCATGTGTGTCGCAGCAGCAAAAGTTGGCTGGGGCTCGAGCCGAAAAAACGCCGTGCATGCCGACTCAGGCCGCACGGGCTCAGGCCGCGTGTCATCTTCAAACACTAATGAGGTGGCTTGAGCTCTAACCAAAAAAATCCGCGCGCGCTGCCTCAGGCCGCGTCTTTGTGTCGCAGCAGCCAAAGTTGGCTTGGACACGACGCCGGCTCA